GAGCAGCTAGGACAACGTGTCCTTTGCTAAAACAGAAATAATATTCCCCATACTGCTGATGTGATTCTTGTGCATGGAATGAAGATGCATGGGATGTCATCCCATAACTGTATTGAAAAGCAATTTGACAATAGACATACAGCACAGTTTTTAACACTGCAACACACTTTGGCCAACCAAAGCTGCAGTCAGGTCCTTCTTTCCACCACTCAGATTTGAAGGACTAACCTGCATTTTTTTTATATATAAAACTTTCCTTCACCATGTATGAAAATGAATATACGTATATATGAACATTGCTAAGCATCTTAGTATGCCAAGCTGTATCTCCTATAACAAGGGTCTCAAAACTTTCAAAACAAAGTGCCAGTTTACTGCCCTTCAAACTGTAGGGGAGCCGGACTGTGGCCAGTGGGAGTAGAAAATGCCCTGACATCGGTGGGAGTAAACAATGCCATAGGCTTGGTGGTCAGTGGGAGTAAAAAATGTACATCTTTGTTGACAGTGGGAGGAATCGTGTACCATCATTGCTTTCAGTGGGAGGAATAGTACCCCATAATTGGTGTCAGTGGGAGAATTAGTTTCCCTTCTATGGTGTCAGTGAGAGGAATAGTACCCCATAAACGGTGTCAGTGGGAGTATTAATTCCCCATCTCTGGTGTCAGTGGAAGGAATAGTACCCCATAATTGGTGTCAGTGTGAGAATTAGTTCTCCATCTCTGGTGTCAGTGGGAGGAATAGTACCCCGTACTGTAATTGGTGTCAGTGGGAGAATTAGTTCCCCATCTCTGGTGTCAGTGGGAGGGATAGTACCCCATCTCTGGTGTCAGTGGAAGGAATACTACCCCATAATTGGTGTCAGTGGGAGAATTAGTTCCCCTTCTCTGGTGTCAGTGGAAGGAATAGTGCCCCATAATTGGTGTCAGTTAGAGAATTAGTACCCCATCTTTGGTGTCATTGGACAGAATACTACCCCATAATTGGTGTCAGTGGGAGAATTAGTTCCCCATCTCTGGTGTCCGTGGGAGGAATACTACCCCATATTTGGTGTCATTGGGGAGAATTAGTTCTCTATCTCTGGTGTCAGTGGGAGGAATAGTACCCCGTAATTGGTGTCAGTGGGAGAATTAGTTTCCCCATATTTGGTGTCAGTGGGAGAAATAGTACCCCGTCTTTGGTATCAGTGGAAGGAGTAGTGTCTCATCATTGGTATCAGTGAAAGGAATACCCCCCAAGGGCCAGATAAAGGCAAACAAAGGGCTACATTTGGCACATAGGTTGGGATGTGGTGGTTTCCACCACAACCTGCTATGCTCCAAAAAAGTTCTACATGTATTACTTTTTTTTCAGCGTGCACCAGCTCAACACAACGGTTCAAACTGGCAAGCAAATTGCTTTGCATCCTAATGCAGTTGGTGTGAATGGACCCTAAATAAGCTATATGTATAGAAACCCACATCCATATCAACATAGTTACATAGTTAGTCTGGCTGAAAAAAGACAAAAATCCATGTATTTCAACCATAAAAAAAAAGAAAAAAAGTTATAATCCTACACCCACAGTTGATCCAGAGGAAGGCAAAAAACCCAGCAAAAACCCAATTTGCTCCTGCAGGGGAAAAAAATTCCTTCCTCTCCCAAGAGGCAATCGGATATTCCCTGGATCAACTTTACCTGTAAAGAGTAACCAGTTATATTCTGTGTATCCAAGAAAGAATCCAGGCCTTTTTTAAAGCATTCCACTGAGCTGGCCAGAACCAACTCTTGAGGGAGTCTATTCCATATTTTCACAGCTCTCACTGTGAACAAACCTTTCTGTATTTGCAGATTAAATGTCCATTCCTCCAGACGTAAAGAGTGCCCCCTTGTCCTCTGTGTTGACCTCAGGGTGAATAGTTTCTACACCGAGTTCACTATATGAACCACTGATGTATTTATACATGTTGATCATACCCCCCCCTTAATCTCCTCTTCTCAAGAGAGAATAAATTCAGTTCCTCTAATCTTTCCTCATAGTTGAGCTCCTCCATGCCTCTTATCCATTTGGTTGCCCTTCTCTGTACTTTCTCCAGTTCCCCAATGTTCTTTTTGTGAATTGGTGCCCAAAACTGAACTGCATATTCCAGATGAGGTTTTACTAATGATTTGTACCGGGGTAATATGATATCTCTCTCTCTGAAGTCTATACCTCTTTTAATACAAGAGAGGATTTTGCTCGCTTTAGAAACCGCAGCTTGGCATTGCATATCATTATTAAGCTTGTGGTCTAATAGAACCCACAGATCCTTCTCCACCATTGATTCCCCCAGTTGTCCCCCCCCCCCCAGTATGTATGATGCATGCATATTCTTAACCCCCAATTGCATAACCTTACATTTATCAACATTAAAGCTCATTTGTCACATTTTTTATGTCACATAGTACTCGCGCAGCAATTTTTCAAACGCAATTTTAAAAAAAAAATACACTTTTTTTACTTTTAATGCACAAAAACACAAAATATTGGCCAATTATTTGGTAAGATATAAAAGATGATGGTATGCTAAGTAAATAGATACCAAACATGACATGCTTTAAAACTGCGCATGCTCCGTGCAATGGCGACAAACTGATACGCTTTTAATATCCATAGGCAACGTTTTAAATGCCTTTACGCAAGCTACCATTTTAGATTTACAGAGGATGTCTAGTGTTAGAATTACTGTCCTTGATCTGACGTTCGTGGCGATACCTCACATGCATGGTGAAACCACTGTTTCCATACTGGCACAGGGTCAACGCTCACGAACACAGATGCGCACGTGCGTGGGGGGGGGCGAGGGTACTTTTTTTTTTAGTTATTTTGATTTTTTTAAATTATTTTAACACTGTCCCCTTCATTTTTTTTTTTTTTTAAATCACTTTTAATGCTATCACAGGGAATGCAAATATCCCCTATAACTTCAATGGGCATTGTCATATATTCTTTTCTGAGAAATCTGGGGTCTATCAGACTCTAGATATCTCCTCTGCCCTTACATTATCTAATCAAACCAACATCAGTGTGATCAATGCTTTCCCAATTTACAAATGGTGTTGTTTATATCCTGTGAAACTGAAGTGATGAAATGCTCATAGCTTCCGATTTCTTAGACTATAGAGATGATTGGAAGCATTCTGGTCTCCAATCAGCTCTATGGTCAGCTGGCAGAAACACCGGCTGCATTCTCAGGTTGCCCCAATGGCACGGGACTGCCCGAGAAGGCTGTGGAAGGCAGTGGGGGAGGAGGGGGGCATTATCTCCCGCTACTTGTAAAAGCAATCCTGCAGCTAATTAGCCACTAAGATTGCTTTTACATGAAAGCCGATCGCTCCGGCTGAAAAAAATGTTACCAGGATGATGCCTGCAGCTGTAGGCATCATCCTGGTATAACCATTCAAAGTCCAGTGATGTACCAGTATGTCGCTGGTCCTTGTTGGGTATATAGTAATACCCCGGATTACAAATTTAATTTGTTCTACAGGACATTTCGTATAGCGAAGAATTCGTAAACCGAAACACTGTTTCCCATAGGAATGCATTGAAAACCAATTAATCCATTCCGAAGGTCAGAAAAACAGTAAACGCTACTAAAATACCACATGAGTTATTTGCATGTGTTAATGTTTCAGCTGTCAGCGGGGTTCCCCACTGACAGCTCAATGTAAAAGAATTGCTGACAATTAAAAAAAAATTATTTAAACTCAACTCTCAGGTGCCAGTTTTTTAAATGTAATTACCGTTGTTTTTTTTTTTTCCTTCACTATACAGTAGTTCAGAAATTCAGATGTCACTTTCCCCCTCCAGCTGAAATAGAGAAAGTTTCTTTTAGTTTATTTCCCCAAAAGAAACAATGTTTTCTTTCAGTTTCTTAAAAGATACAAAGTATCCTTTAGCTTCCGGAAACTGACAGCTAATGTGAGCTATAGTGAAGAGAAAAAAAAAAAGACGGCAATTGCATTTAAAAATCAGCACTGACATACACTTTGTATTGTGAAAAAAATTTGTAAACCGAGGCATTATTTTTCAATGGATTTTCATTCGTAAACCGAAAAATACGTTGACAGAGGCATTCGTAAACCGAGGTATTACTGTATATGCTATGTTCTTTTTTTTTTTTGTATGCAGCCAGTGGACTGAATGAAAAAAAGAGAAGAAATCTCTGCCCAGAAAAAGCGTGTGGTATGCCCACCATTAGTATATATCCCTCCCTGCATCCACCCACTCCAAATGGTGGGCACACAGTGCCACATGCACCAGTTCCAAGAATGTACAAATGTATAAATAGTGGCACACTTGAATAAAAATTGTCCACGTATAAGTGGTACCCCATATGGAAAAAGGATGACACCAAGTCCCAAACTATCTTGCCACTACTCCCCATGTAGTCTGGGCATCCGGGGGGCTCCACGTGACTATCTTTTCCCTCGTAAATCTGAAACTTATATAAGTATAGCCTGTTGTCCTCTCACAGGTCTTCTACATCTTGACCCCATATCTGGCACGCTTGCTGGGGAGAAATTGTTTGAATGCAAGGCGGCTAGAAAAATTAATGAGGGACTCATCAATGCAGATTTTTTGCTGGGGAGTATAGACATCTGCAAATTTTTGGTTAAGGTGATTTGTGAGGGGCTGAATTTTGTGGAGCCGGTCAAATTCAGGGTCATCCCAAGGATGACAGAGTGTATTGTTGTTGAAATGCATAAAACACATTATACTCTCATATCTATGTCTGGCCATGGCTGCGGAGAGAACACGGGCATATGATGAATCGGGTCTGTGGACCAATACAACCGCAATTAATTTTTTTTTTAGTAATGCCCATGTTGAGGATTAGGTCCAAAAAAAATTTAAATTCAGAAACCGTAATGGGTTTCCATGCGAATGGTCTGGCAAGGTTTGAATCTGGGTCGGCGGCGATAAATTGTTGTGCATATAAATTGCTTTTATCCACAATCAATGCATACAGATTTTCCGTGAAAAACAACTCCAAAAAATCAAGGGGAGTAGTTAAATTTGCTATTTCCACCTGAATTCCAGGTTGGGCAGTGAATGGGGGAAGTACAGGTGCTGCAGAATTTGTGGGCTGCCATTCGGGATTTGCAAGCACATCCGGAAGGATACTAGGGGCTCTATGGGCCTGTGTACGATTCTTGGTGGCTGCGGGACAATACTTGTGCTCACCACCGCACCAGCTTGTACTGCACTTATGAGACTCGCCATGTCACCAAGTGATACTGCAGTGCTGGTATTATTATTATTATACAGGATTTATACAGCGCCAACAGTTTGCACAGCGCTGTACAATATAACAGGAGACAATACAGCAACAATGCAGTTCAATACAAGAGGGTTAGGAGGGCCCTGCCCCTTGGAGCTTACAATCTAAGAGGTATGTGAAAGACCAGGAAGTACTAGGCCACTAGTACTTGCCAGTTCACCAAAAGGTAGCATGGCACTAGTACTGGCACTCTGCTGCATATGAGAGTCATCAAAATTTTACCAACAAGTGCTAACAGAGATCAGGCCTGATTCTGCCAACACTGCAGTTTTGTGTGCAATGTATCAAGTGACAGTGACCTACTGACACTGCACTTGCTGGGGGAGAAGGGGGGGGGGTAAGCGTAGGGGCTAAACGCAGGTGTTTTGGCAGGTGCCGGGCTGATCCTGCTAACGCTACATTTTGGGGACGCTATACTAATGTGAAGGCTGGTATAGTGCTGATCTGATCAAACATATTGATCTAATCAGACACTATACTAGCAATGGAGGTTTATTGTGTATGAGCGTCTTCCTGGCAATCGAGAGGTTGTGGATGTGGATCATCTGGAGCTGTGTCAATACCATGCCCCTTATGGACAAGAGCTCCCCCATGCTCCTTTGTATATACAGAGCTGAAGAAGGTATTTAATAAATTTGCCTTCTCTTTGTCCCCAGTCACCCACTCTAGATTATTTTGTAAAGGGCCTACATGCTCAGACCTACATTCTGTGGAACTAAATTCTGTTGGGAGGGGGTGGAGCTTTTTCATAATGTGCAAGTATGCATAGCATTATGGCGTACCTAGATCTAATTTACACTCGCCTCAAAATGCGTAATTTGACACAATTTTTTTAAAGCAATCTGAATGCTAATCAAAGCACCTCTCACTAAATAAATGGTTACCTTACAGTCCTGTTCACACTGTTGCATTTTCTTTGATTACAAAGTTATCCCCCATACTGCTTTCTTGGTGCTTCAAAGCATCTCCAAAACATTCATAGAAGTCTATCACAGTGCTCGCTAACTGCACCTGCAGCATTTGAGTGGCATTTTTTCAGAGTTAGCTTTGCTTTGTTTTGGAGGTATGAGATATCCCAGGATGCACTGGGAAACCTGAAAGTGAACCAGAAAGACATCATCATCAATCTTTTCCAGTTCATGTGTATATATTGTGGGAGTGTGAGGGAAGATGAGCAGGGTCTGGACTGGAATGGAATAACTAGCAGACAGGACACGTGGTGCATAACATGGGAATGCTATAGCCAAAGGTGATCAGGGACTTGAGAGAGAGGACTGATCGGCGGAGGATCAGCAGAGCTGGCAGAACGGAGCAGGTGAAACTAGTAGATGTCACGTGTGGTTTGTAGCATAGGAGCAATATAGCGGGAGATGAACAGGGATCGGAGAGAGAGGAGGATAAGCAAACCAGAAATTCAGCAGAGCTGGAGATTATTACTGAGTGGGGGATCAGCAGAGCTGGCAATTACTACTGAGCTGGGGGATCAGCAGAGCTGGAGATTACTACAGCAGAGCAGGGAGATTACTACTGAGGGGATCAGCAGAGCTGGGGGTTACTACTGGGTGGGGGATCAGCAGAGCTGGAGATTACTACTGAGCAGGGGATCAGCAGAGCTGGAGATTACTACTGAACAGGGGATCAGCAAAGCTGGGGGTTACTACTGGGTGGGGGATCAGCAGAGCTGCAGATTACTACTGAGCAGGGGATCAGCAGAGCTGGAGATTACTACTGAGTGGGGGATCAGCAGAGCTGGGGGTTACTACTGAGTGGGGGTTAGAAGATCTGGGGGTTACCACTGAGTGGGGGATCAGTAGAGATGGGGGTTACCACTGATTGGGGCATCAGCAGAGCTGGGGCTACTACTGAGTGGGGCATCAACAGACTGGGGGTACTACTGAAAGGGATCTGATAAATGAGGGTACTAATCAGCTGGGGATCTGCTCAGCAGGGGTCCTAATGAGCTGGGGATCTGCTGAATGGGGGTAATACTGAGGTCGGGGTACTACTAAAGCTTCAAAAAATCATCACAGAAGCCTCAAAAAACACACCAAAATGCATGTTGAAAGTGGTAGGCACTTTAATGAGAGTTAAAATCAAAGCAAGTGTTAATGAGCCCTTGGGATCCTTTCACACAGGCTTTGTCAGTTCCATTCAGCAGGGGATCCATGAACAGATCTCCTGTTGAGTTAGAGTTGAATGGGACAGATATCTGTTTTGTTTTATCCAGCCAAAGGTCCAGTTCAGTTTCAGCCCTCATTTTGACAGCAAACGTCTGCAGACCCATGATGACTCCATGGTTGGCCAGATGGAAACATACTTGTGACCATTTATATCAGGCTACCTCCAATCTGTCACAGTTAGGTCCGGAGAGAAACACAATATGATGCAGTTCTTTTCCCTTTTTTTTGGGGGCTTGGACAGACTTGGAGGTAGATGGATATAAATGGACAGAAATCCATTTTAATCCCCCAGGTCTATACCTGCATGGAGCTTGTGATCTGGTCCATCGGAAAAAAAAACTATTTCCAGTTTTTAAAGAAGATCTGTTCTGAAAGTCCGTGCGAAAGGGCCTTACCACTTTTTGTGCTTTTCTCTAGTAGTGACAGGTCCAGGCTCCATCTCCACTCCACTCCACCTAGCACTGCTGGGCTGTTAGGCTGTTGTAGACGTAAAGTTCAGTAAGTCACTTTTCGAACCTGCTAGGACAGTTTACATTAGGAAGCTCAAGTATAGGTACAAATACAGTCATGGAAAAAAGCATTACTATGTGCAAGTTTGACAGATGACATAAAGGGTTACCAGTTCCTTTAGGTATAGAATGGATACATTTAGAAAGTGCATGACAACATTTTCCAGATGTCGTATTTTGACCACCAATAAGCATAGAATCGGAAAACATTTTCTGGCAGATTTTCATCTCAGGGCAATTAACACAGGTATAAGGTGAACTCCCAATTGCAAATACGCGTTAAAATGTTTAAATGTAGGCATTAGTGCCCTGTGATTTGTGTTCACAGAAAAACCATTTAAAAGGAAACATATAGGAGTCTAGTTATAAAGTTTTTCACACAAGATTCACACAATGTTTACCTAGGATACACTCATTTTTACAATTAGAAAACTGTGTGCATCCTAGATGAAAGTTTTGTGATAACATTGATAAACAAATCCTTGTAGTATGGAAATATAGAGACTACTATTGATGACTTTCTCAGCTGAAAATGTTAGTTCCCTGCTTGCCATTATGTTCTATTGCCTTTAGTATTTTCTGAGTTGATGACATGAAATCAAACTTCACTCTGACTTCTTGATCTTCATTCTTCCTATGGATCGCTTTCTCAGAAAGTATTGGACAAGGGGATTGTTGGACTTTCAGAAGGAGTTCCGAAACAGCAACCTCAGCATTTCTCTTTGTAAAAGTTTCCATCTCAGCTGCCATTTTTGACTTCTCCGTTCTGCAAATGCTAGATCGTTTGTTGTCATGCTACCTCCATGATTAGCTGTCACTGTCCATGTAAGCAGTGCAGTGGCAGAGGATTTGAATGCCCTGCTTTTCTTTCCCTTCCTTACGTACAGATTCTGGGATGGACCAGAATGATTTTGATTGGTCAATCAGAATCTCTCTGATCTGTTCCAAAAGCCCTAAGGAAAAAATCCCCTGCCGTTGCACTGGTTACGTAGGTAATGACAGCTAATCACCTACGGAGGTAAGTGCAGTGGGGACCGGAGGGGGGGTAGGGTGTTAATTCACCTATTCATTTTTTGGGTAAAGGTGAACTAAATACGGCCATACGTGCATCACAGTTCAGGAAGGGACTGGCTGCATTTCAATCCATGTATGGGGACGATGGCTTAAGATCTACAGATTGACTTCTGTACAACCGCCCTGTTGGATTTTTGCCTCTTGATCATCGCTGCTGGCTATAGCCGAATACAGAGATCATTGTATTAATTGTATTCTGAATGCAGGGGCGTCTCCTCACTGTCAGAATACAAAGGCACATCAGAAGGATTCCCCCATCCTCACACTGAATGGTCAGGGGGAAAAAAATGTTGGCTGCTTTACAAACCACTTGCCCTCCAGATGATTTACTTCCCTTGCTGACCAGGCCATTCTTTGCAATACGGCACTGTGTTACTTTATTTGACAATTACGCAGTTATGCAACACTGTACCAAACTGAAATTTATGTCCTTTTTTCCCCACAAATAGAGCTTTCTTTTGGTGGTATTTGATCAACTCTGCAGTTTTTATTTTTTTGCGTTATAAACAAAAAAAGACTGACAATTTTGAAAAAAAAAAAAAAAATTATTTTCCACTATAAAACATATCCAATAAAAAAAATTAAAAATCAAACTTTTCAAGCCAAAATGTATTCTGCTACATATTTTTGGTAAAAAAAAAATCCCAATAAGCGGGATACTAGTACTAGTACTAGTACTAACCATATTAGTAATGGCAGTGTGATTAGCGACTTATAGCTGGGCTGCGATATTGCGACGGACATTTTTAAACTAACTGACACTTTGCTGGAACCAGTGACACTAATACAGTGATCTGTGCTAAAAATATACATTGATCACTGTACTAATGACACTGGTTGGGAAGGGGGTAACATCTAGGGTGATCAGATGGTTAACTGTGTGCCTATGTGCTTGGTGTACATTAGATAGCACTGGTACAAGAGAAAGTGATGGATCGTGTTCCCAGCTCTGCAGGGACACACAATGGCTCATTTCTCCTGTCACAACACAGTTGTGCCGATGTAAACATAGCTGTGTTCTTCCTCCCTGCTCAACTATCTGCATGTGCCAGCGAGGATCCACTCACCAGAACTCTCAGATCGGCTTCTGCTGTGACAGTTCACAGCAGAAGTGATCTGCCGCGGCGCGGTAGTACAAAATCACATACAGTGGGGATCGAAAGTTTGGGCACCCCAGCTAAAAATTTGTATTAATGAGCATAAAGAAGCCAAGGAAAGATGGAAAAATCTCCAAAAGGCATCAAATTACAGTTTAGACATTCTTATAATATGTCAACAAAAGTTAGATTTTATTTCCATCATTTACACTTTCAAAATAACAGAAAACAAACAAATGGCGTCTGCAAAAGTTTGGGCACCCTGCAGAGTTAATATCTTGTACTGCCCCCTTTGGCAAGTATCACAGCTTGTAAATGCTTTTTGTAGCCAGCCAAGAGTCTTTCAATTCTTGTTTGAGGTATCTT